TTCTTAAAATACCATTTTTTATCTCTTTCTATTACATTAATTTGTTTACTTTTTGTGTGTAAAAGAATTACAAAATAATATTTTGAAAATAACATTACTTAAATAATATTACCAAATAATGAGATAACATAGTTTTGTAAATCTCAGTTAATTGCCTTTTATACATTGTCATTGCATGAATATAGTTGAAATAAGTCTAACACTGTGTGGAAACTGGAAGCAATTGCTTCTCCTCCAAAGATCTGCAACAAAAAGAAATGATTCTCCACACGAACTGGAAAGCACTTGCAAACTGTTCAACTGTTAGATCAACACAAGTCAGGCATCACTTCAGAGCCTTTGTTGCTCAATATTGTTTTTGGAAGAAAGCTTATAAATTTGATTTTGAATGATCTTAATTTCCTGTGGAAACAATTTTAATTAAAATTAATTTTAAAAAAGTAATTTATATTTAATTTTAGAACAATCGTATATACTTTATACTATAATCGTGTTGTATTTTATAATTCTCAAAAATTTATTACTTCTTTATATTCGTATTATACAGTATCTGTATCTCGTATCATACTTAAATTTTTTTAGAATAGGATTAATCCATTTAATTTGTTAAGGATTTTTTAATTTTGTGTTCTAAGGAGCATTAGCTTTATCATTACGAATTTATGATCCTACTTATTAAATAGGATTTTGTTAATATTAGTTAATGATGATGAAAATTTAGCATTGTCTATGCTAAAAAAAATAAGAAAGTGAAAAGAAAATTCTTGATACGTGCGCGTCACTAAACCATGAAAGTTGGAGTCCTTCTCCCAAAACCACTCCCACTTTCATGTTTAATGTCTTTAGGTCACAAATTTTATAAAAAATAAAATTAATAAATACTTTATTGTATTACTTTATTAAATAGTGTAAATATTTAAATAGGGTAATAATTTAAACAAAGTAATCAAATCGATCTTGACATTAAGTTACGATTTAAAATAATAATAATAATAATAATATGTATTTTATCAGAATTAGCTTAATGCAGATGGTTTTACTTTTACAACAACTAAATCTTGACACTTGTATTGCAGTTAAGGTTGAAATTTATAGCTTGCTTTTTAAGACATCAAACCTCTAATGCTTTCATATAACTTATATAAAATTTATTATATGTGTAAGAAATTAACCCAACAAATGTGTTGATTGATTAACCAATAAGGCTCATGAGAATCCTTTAGGATGCAGGTGTTTTTCTTTAGTTCCTTTGTTTGTTTTTCTAGACTATTTTTTTTTTCAGGTTTTAAGCCTTGTTTATTATAAAAATAAATAAGTCAAAAAATAAAGTTAATGTAAATGACTAAAGCCTTAAATTGGTTCTCAAAGGATATGAATTCATTTAATTTAATTTTTAAAAGGAAAATATTAAATATAATTATTGAATTCATTTTTATCATTAATTTTATTCTTTTTATTAGTATGCACTCTAATCATTTTAAAAATAACTTAATATTTTTACTTGTTAAAATATATTTATTGAGTAAGTTCTTTTTAAATAATAACTGTTATAAATTTTAATAGTATAAGATAAAAAAACTTATTTTAATATGATATATAAAAAAATTATTAAAATAAATTTAAAATTAATTATATGAGTCATAAGTTATTTTTATAAATTTTTTTAAGTAAATCATTAAAATATTTCACTTTTATACATATTCTTAATAAATTTTTACATAAACATTAAAAGTACTTTTTTTTAATAATAATATGTTATAAGTATGGGACCAAATTCAATGACTCTTATTTTTTAAAGACTAATTTAAAGATAAAAATATTTAAAATTTTTTTAATAAATTTTAAATTATTATTTAAATTTAGTAAAACTATTAAATATAAAATATTATTAAATTAAAAAAATCATAAAATTTTTAAATAATATTTAAAAATAAATTTAACCGCACTATTTATTCTAATACTTAGATTAATTCGATGTAGGTAAAGGAAGGGATATAATTCAGCGCTAGAGTGTCGTTTTGTAAATTTTAAATTTTTTTAATTATTTATATTTATTTTATTTAGTTTTTAAATGTTTAAATTTAGTTCTTGACTTCAAAATTTATATTTTTATTTAAATTAATAAAGTGCTATATTTTTGTTAATTATTAAATAAAATTTAATTTAAATATTTAAAAAATTAAAATAAATAAATTTAAATAATTAAAATAAAAAAGATTAAAAAATTATAGTTATATTAAAATATAATAATCAAGTGCAACTAAACCTTAAAAATATATTAAAAAAATCAATTAAAAAATTGTAGTCCAAACAGAGCCAGCGGATGCGAGTTACGACATGTATGATGCATGCATTCACGCCATGACCCATGCATGATATGACCCCACACGCTTGTGTCAGTAATCTGTAACGTGATGCCTCGTGCCACCCACGTTTTGGATAGAAGCGTGTTCAAAATCGCATGCGTTCACGTACATCACTGCCACCATGTGACTCAATCACATACCGTCAATACAGTTGACCATCAAACCATTCTTAACCGTCGGATATTAAACCATAGGATTCGGATGCTGTGGTAACCGTTAAGATTTGCTATCTTCCTTTTTCAGAGAAAGAGTGGGGCCCGCAAAAGTAAAAGTATGTGAACTGCAGAGCTGTGACTCCAGCAGCAGCCCCTCCTCACCGCTCTACAATAAAATATATAAAAATGTTAATGTTAATTTTTATATTAGATTTAAATAATTAATAATCATAAATTTTAATAAAAATAGTTACAATATTTTTTATAAAAAATAAATTATTTTTTAAATACTTTAACATTTAAATTCAATCTTAAAATCTAAAATTAATATATTTTGAAAATGAAATTAATTTATTAATAACATGTTTTATTAAATAATAATAATAATAATTAAAAAAATACTATAAAGACGTGTTAGATTTTTGTAATATTCATTTTAGAAAAAAAGGTTGAATTTTTAAATTTGTATAATTTTTAAATTTAATATTTTCAAGATAACAATTTTTTAATATGCATAACATTGTATATATAATAAATTTGTATCAAAATTAATATAATTAGATGTATTAATATTATTAAATTTTTAATAAAGATATATTATACATAATTTTATGTCAGTTCAGGTTAAAAATATCGTTAAAATACAACTACAATTGAATATTTTGTCTATTCTTGTAGATGTTATGTAATTTTCTTAGTTGAAAATTTCTTCTTTTAACTAAACTTTCAAACGTATCTTTAAAATATTGATTAAAAATTTAGAATAATTTTTTAATCAACCCAGTATCTGAAATACAAAATGTTTAATTTATATAAATTTAACTAATATTTTAAAATACTAATTAAAAAAATAACATCCTAAATAATTTGAAGTGTCACGGACTAACCATAGTTTCAGCACACGAGTATTTTTATTCTTATGAAAATGTTTAAAATAAAAAAATACTTTTAAAATGTTATAATATTCCATTTGAAGAGACACAGTTGTATATAATATTTTGATACGTGGTTGAGTAGGGCAAAAGAGAAGCTTTAAGAAAAGTGGAGGATTTAGAAGTGGGTTTGGTCCAAATGTCCACATTCAAAGCCTTCACTATTATTAGATATTGTTGCAAGCTGCAATGAACTTGTCAAAGATCTCACATCATGCTGCTTCATACATATCAATTATATATGGCACAAAAGAAATTAAAACAATTTATCTTGTGAGATGGAATTGAGTAGGAAAAAAGAAATTTAAGAGGTAAAAAAATTACTAAAATTACTTAATTTTTAAAATAAAGATATTCAACTATCTTTAAATAATAAAATAAATAAAACCACACATTATTTAAATTAAAAATTTAAATGTGTTATCAAACATTAATTGTATGCACTAAAATTCAATTAACATAACGATTTCTAAAATTAAGAAAAAGTGGATTTAAAATATTTGTTTCAAAATAGATAAATTTAACTAGTTCAAATCTGTATTGGTGATCACTTGCGTTTAAGAAAAAAAAAAAGGGTTTACTTGATCAATTTCTTATAAGAAAAAATAAATCCTTATATAATACTTCGAAAAATATTCATATTCTACCCTTGCATTGCACTGTCATGATGTCTCATCTAATAGGATGAAATTAATTTATCTTTAATTTGTTTTAAAATAAAAATAAATTTTAAAATTTATCTTCATGTCATGGCCACATGTTTTGAATATTTAATATATTTATTAAATAATTTTAATGCCTAAAATTAATTATTAAATGTCTGTTGTGTTTTTTATAATATTTATAATAAATCAGTTTTGTTTTAAATTTCTTAACCTCTATACAAGCCAAACAAAAGTACTCGCAGTTTTAGGAGTTTATTTCATTTAATAATTTTTATTTTGCATTTAAATTTTAAAATAATTTCCTTAAACAAACGATCAAATTAATTATTTTTGAAAATATCAAATTAATTTTATTTTTTAATAAAATACACACTTCAATAAAAATATGTGACTAAAATTAATTTATCTATTTACCTCAACCATAGTCAATAACTTAAATTAAGAATAATATTTAAATGTAATATTTATATAATTTTTTAATTAAAATTAGAATTATGCATTAATAGTTTATACAATAAAAAATATTAATCTTAACATTTGATATTAATTTTAAATAACTAAAATAATAAAATATTAATTATATTAAGACATAAAGGATCCATTATGATGGTAGTATTATATAAGTTGTCGGCAAAACTCACAGAACTGAAAACCCTCTCATAAAGTGCGTGTGGACTTTCTCTCCTCCGCCAGAGCATCGTGTCATCCCCCTTTGACATTTGTACAAGTCAACCCCTCAAACCCACCAAACACTCTTCCAACGTTAAGAGTCGTAAAAACAAAAACAATTTTGAAAACCACAACAGAAAAACAGAGACAGACCCACAAACCAAAACAAAGAGATAAGCATACATAGAGATGCCAAAGTGCCCAACCAAACACACACACACACACACACACTCTCTCTCCCTTATAAAAAAAGCCACTTTAATTCTCTCTCTCTCTCTCTCTCTCTCACTAGATTTTGTTAAAAACTCCCTCTTTTTCTCTCTATATATACAAGTCCATTCCCACTCATTGCGCCTTATCATCTCTCCCTCTTACCAAAAGTCAGCGCCTTGTTTTGTCTTTCTCTCTCTTCTCTGAAAAGAGGAGAAGAAACAGCAGGTACACACACTGCAGGCTTTGTCTCTACGGTTATGGAGGAAGATTGGGATCTACATGCGGTGGTTAGAGGCTGCTCCACCGTTACCTCAACCACTACTTCCTCTGTCTCTTCTTCTTCGTCGTCAGGCTTTGCCTCTTCTTACTTCCATCCTGAAGCATCCTCTGGATTCTCCACCATCTTTGATGGACCCCATGTTTTGTCCCTTTCTCCACACCCCTTTGAAGCAAGGAGTTCCATTGAGGAGTTGCATGAGCTTTGCAAGCCTTTCTTCTCTTCCAAATCACAGTCTCTCTCCTTGCAAGCTTCTTCTCCCTTGTCCTCATTCTCTTATTCCTCCGCTCCACCCAAATCAGCTCCTGCACAAGAGAAACAACACCAGCGGAACAAGCAGCCACATACAAGTGGTTCTGCCAGCACCCCACGATCTAAAAGAAGGTACAAATACTTGGGCTTGCTTGGTTTTTATCCAAAACTAGGATCCTGGAATGACCCATCTCATAAAAATCATGCCTTTGGTTGATAGTTTTTGTGGGTGTTTTTCACTTTTTCTTATATGCTTATGATTGTTTTGTTTGTTCCTTTCCAGGAAGAACCAGCTTAAGAAAGTTTGCCAAGTGCCAGTTGAGAATCTCTCCTCAGACATATGGGCGTGGAGGAAATATGGACAGAAACCCATAAAAGGGTCACCATATCCTAGGTGAGTCTTCAAGGTTTTCACTTGCAATTTTCTAAAAAATGAGTTAAAAATTATGGATTTGGTTTTTGATGCACCTTAGAAGTTAAAATGCGGTTATAATAAGCTTTAATTTGAGTCTGTGATGATGAAATATATGTGTAAATTATAAAGTTCCTTAGATCTTAGCCATTAATTTTGTGATTGTGACACTGAACTTTAGAGTAACCAAATTAAAATAAAGTTATGTACTTTTAAGGTCTAATTTAGCTATGTTTTGTTTTGTGATTTTTAGGGGATACTATAGATGTAGCAGCTCAAAAGGGTGTTTGGCAAGGAAACAGGTTGAGAGGAACAGATCAGACCCAACAATGTTTATTGTCACTTACACAGCTGAACACAACCACCCTGCTCCTACTCACAGAAACTCTCTTGCTGGCTCCACCCGCCAGAAGCCTCAAGCTGCTACCACCATAGACTCTGACAAGACTCTTACTAAACCCACTTCTCCAGCCACCTCAGTGGCTGAGGAAGAGGTTCCAACTCAGGGAGAGAAGTCAGAGAGCAGAGAAGAGAAGGAGGATGTGATGGATGATGAGGAAGGAGATGATGAATTTGGATTGTCTGATATGGTTCTCACAGATGATTTCTTTGAAAGTTTAGATGAACTAAGTCAACTCACCGGTCCTTCTGTAGTCTCTGGAGATTGCTTCAGTGATCCCTTTTCATCTATTGCATTTCCTGCTTGGGTGGCCAGTGGTGCTGCCACTGCTGGTGGATGTAGCTGATTCTTTAGTAGAAATCATCACAAGTGACATTTGCTTCATGCTTTTTTTTCATTGGAGAGAATAGGAACCTTTTTTTATTTTGTTTTGTTTCTTTTTGTTTGTAGAGGAATTGGAACATTTTGGAGGAATCTTTGCTAACAATGCTTTGTGAAGGGGAAGGAAAGTTCTTCCCAAGTATAGTAGGGATTAGTAAGGTAGATTATTAAGCATTTATATGATACCAATCTTGTTAAAAATTAATGATTATTAGGCATTTATGGTTTTATATCATACCTCCGTTAATGTAAAATCGTTTTATTTTATCAGTTTTTGTTTTGCTCCATGTGTTGTGATTGAGTTTATTGTATTCAACATTAGTTATGATATGAATTACCAAAGCGCTTTTGGGTTGACCTTTTCTTTTTCTTTCTTGGCAATGATTGTGATTGTGTGACTGTGACATACGGTTTCATAGTTGTTGCTTGTTGGGTATTTATTCTAGTAGTAGTGTGCATGACCACCAATAGTAGTGAACCTTCATTGAGGACACGGAGGGGTTAAGGTAATCAAGGAATTAGATTCCATCAAGCATATGCCTTTTGATTTATATGGAATCTAGCTCCTCTGTTTTATTCAGTGAGAAGCAAAGTATATTACGTAAGCCGCATGTATTCCCTAGTAAGTGCCACGTTTTCTTGAAGTTAACATGTTAGGCTCACCAATTAGTTTTGTGCGGTTTACTTGGTTCCCAATAAACAATTGAAGAACAATGCATCTAATGCCTAGTAGAATGGTTCAATTTGCCAAACTTGGTTCAGTTGGAAAATGAAACAAAAAAATTGATTGTTAAAACAAGTGGATGTTATCATTGCGAGTAAGCATAAATCACTTGATGTATATTTTGAAGGGTTTTGAGTTTGCTATTTTTGACCATAGAAAATGATTCATTTCATACAATTGGAAGGAAAAGGAAACGACTTAGTCGAATTTGATGATGTAAATATGCAATTAAAGCAATATTTTTTTAGGCCTGGAAGTAAAAAAATGTTGACCAGTTGATTGCTCACCAAGCATTTTAGAAATTGTAAACCAAGTGAGGAAGTTGGAATGTGGAGCGCCCAATAATATATTTCTTGAACAACGATACTTATCATTCAAGCAGTATTGACGTTGAAAGAAAATTTAGATAGAATAAATTCCTTTAGTTTTTAAACATATAAAATAGGTTCATTAAGTTCCCTTTTTCAGAAGAAGAATGCTAACTAATGCCTAAAAGTATTGATTGAAGAATAAAAGGGAGAAGTTTTTATATAAGTAAATTCAATGTTATCTATGTAACTTTTTTTCACTACTGATTTTTAATAAGAATATTTTACCTATTGGTTTCTAAATGAATACCCTTAAATATTTATATGACCAAGACCTTTTGAAATCAACATGGAAATTCTACTTAATCCAACACTCCATTTGAAAAGCCTGGTGGGAATTACTTTTCAACAGAGTTATTTCACCAACACATTTTAAAAAATTGAAATCCCAAGTTATATAGTATGGAGTGTTGGGAATCCTGTCGGTAATGGGGCAAATAATTCACCGAGAACATCATCATCATCACCCCTTTTACTTGCCGGAAATTTATAGAGGACAGCATAACAATATAACTGATAAACTAGCATAAAATTCATTTAAAAGCCAAATTTGAAGGGTACTAGAAGAACCATCAGTTCAAATAATGAACTTTATGTATTATATATGTATAAACAGAAGATACCCTTTTTCTATAAAAGAAACAAAATCATAAGGAAATGGTTACTTGTTATATCCTTTCTCTGCATAGAAACTAATTCTACCAGGAAGCAAGTTACTTCTTACAAGCTAATTAGTTAAAAAAACAGTGTCCACTTGAGGAGTGTTTTTCGTACATATGCATGTCCAATGAAGCAACAAACATTCAGCACTAAGCAAGGTTTGCACTTTGCAATACTATTGACCATCGAGAAGGTCTTGGACTATGTTCTTAGTGGATGATTTGAGCTTATCACTCAAATAAGGACATCCACTGGTGCAACCTTAGTGTTGTCGTACCTTGAAAGCATTACAAACTTTAGGAAGAGTAAACAAAACACAGTTTAAGAGATATATCATTTAAATAAACACAACTAGTAAACACCCAATTTAAGTCTTACACAATATTTAACATTGGACACATTAGTTCTTTAAAATGTTAAAAACCTACTTCAATTTCTAAGGGTCACCACGACAAGTCATTTTAATATTTTTGAAGCACATAGCGTATTTCATAACTTCTTTTTATATGAAGACTTATATCATAAAATTAAAAATGAAGTTTATGCTAGAAAATTTATTAAAATAAGAAACAAAAGGAAAAATGTGTAGGGTACAACCATGCTACATTTTAAATCATAAGGAAAGAAAAAAAATAATTTGAATAGGACCATAGTTTTTGAATTAGTATTCTAAAATTGAAGGAGAGTGAATAGGTGGAGCTTTCCTTTTCCCCAAATTGGTAAATACTTAAAATAAACTTAAGCAATCAAACCACTCTTGGATGGTTGAACTGTCATAAACAAATGGGTGGCTTTAACCGGAGTTAATTTTCAAAAATTGGACGTATTCCATTTTTTCTTATTAGCTTTACTATCTCACTATTTATGTCACTGCCGTTCAAGTTGATCCTACTTCCTCTTCATGGACCAAGGACATGGATTTTAACTTTTAAGGGAATAGATTTTAGGTGACATTTTTTCAAAGCTATGTAATTTCATTTTCAAGAATAATATTTACAAAAATACCATTATCTATAATTTTTTTTTCTATACCTTGAAACATAGTTTGGTCAAGATCTCTCTACCATCTCACTGCTAAACCACTTGACATTATCAATATAATGGGGGCTTATTTGTTTGGATATACAAGTTTGTCTATTTAATTTTATTCTTTTGAACTTAACTGGTTGAACTAGTGATTCATTAGTTCAATTTGTGATCCAATAATCATACCTCTTAACTAAGCCGTTAAATTCAAATAATAGAAAAAAAAATAATGACCAAAAATCAAGTGTACAAACTTGCAAAATTCTCTTAAGAATGCAACATTCCCACTTCTCATCCCTCATTTTAAAAATAAAAGTTTAAGGAAAATATGAAAATGATACTTTTGAGAATTAATTATGTTTAAATTTTAAAAAAATAATAAACATGGAAATATTACATTTATAAGTTTATATTTTCAAAAATGATTTTACACAAAAATACTCTCTTGGAATTGTTTATTTTTTTATTTTTTGGTCATGAGTTGTTTAATTATTTACTTTGATTTGTACAACCGTATTTTTTTTTCTTCTTATCAACTGTTCAACCGATTGCATAAGCTTTTTCTTTTTCATTTTGTCAATGCATCAAATCAAAAAGCCCAAAAGGGCAGAACAATATAAGCTTAATTGACCTCAAAAAAATCTTCACTGGACCCAAAACGAATTCATCGTGTCCTGTTAGTATGATCCACAGTTCTGTATTTTTCTCAGCTTAAAGCATTACATGGGTTGGGTGTTGGTATGGATTCTAATGAATAGAATTTATATTTTCTGTATTTATTTTCATATTTGTATAGATAATAATTTTATTTTTATTCTCGTATCTGTATAATAAAGGAGTATAGATGTTATAATATTTTTTTTATATCTACAATATTTCATAAGTGTTTAATTTTACATAAACCTAAACTTGTTAAAAAAAAATCTACCCTACTGATTAAATATATTTTACAAATTTTTAATAAATTTGTTTGGTCTTTTTTAAAAATTGAGTGGTTTAATCATACCGTCACCAAATCTTTTATATATGACAATCAAATTAACACTTTATTTTAAAAAAGTGTATAATAAGCCTAAATTTTAAAAAATTAAGACAAATTATAGTTCCTTGAAATATGTTAAAATTATAATATCTTCCCATTTAATTTTAGAAATTACACTATTGAGATGTCCTCTCTTAAGAAATTATTCAGGGTTCTATTTTAATCATTTTTTAAAAATATAAACAAACATTTTATTGATGGCTGGTAATGATGAAGTAAGACATCAAAGGTTTTATTTATTTCTGTAAATTATTTTTTAAAATATTTTTTTCAATCTTTGTAAATTTGACCTTTTTAAGTCCTTGTGTAATTTTTTATACTTTATTCCCCAAAATTAATAAATACTATATTTTTTTTTCTAAGAACTAAAATGGTTTTTAAAGCACCAAAAGGACACAATTTCATCGATGTAAATATTAAGCTAAAAAAATAAAGACTAAAATATGTTATATTTTCAAAGACTAAAAGTTTACTTAAGTCCTTTAATACTATTAATTTTAAGATTTTAGTAGCTAACATCTATTAAATTGAAAACTACGCATAATCTTTATTTAATATTCTAAAGTCTTCTTAAAGTAGAAAGTAGAATTTCAACAATAATTATTGATGATGCTAAGTTGTAAAATGAACAAGGTTATATTAAAAAGGTTTGTTCAAATTAAATTGAAACAAAATACAATGAGTTAATCACTTACGTAAAGAAAATTATAATTCTTTAATTAGAGAGATAGACGACAAAATTTAAGCATTTATTAAAGAAAGACATCATATTTTATCTTAAAATTTAAAGTAAAATTTTATTTTAATCTTTAAAATTATAAGCGTTAGTTGCTTTAATTATTAATTTCATAAAATTTTCATTTTGGTTATTAAATTTGTAAAAAATATTTTTTAAATTATTTAATAGAATGAAAAATTAAAGTAATATCATTTTATAATCTCAAAAATTAAAAGGAAGTTTATAGGTGAATGACAAATAAATTAAAGAATTATCTAGTTTTCTAGCTAGACTTTAATTCTTATTTTTTTTTAAATTATGCCTCGTGGTTGATAGGCTTATAAATCCAAGCTTCTAAATTGCCACCCCCATTCATTAAACCTACTACATCTAAATCCAAGTTCATAGTCCATAAACTTTAGACATTGAACTCGAACCTAAGACAAAACTAATAAGCTTCAAGCACAACATTGTTTTGAGATTCAAGTGGTGGAAGCAGAATCCAACAACATTGTTCAAGTAAAATGGTTTGTTCCAATTCTGATTTTCTTTCCTTCTTGAGTAATTATTCGTGGGATTTAGATGGTTTGTCCCATAAATTCGAATATAACAGTTAAAAAAAGAGAATTTTAGCATAGTAAAGATGACTATTATATTATTAAAAACTCGTGTGTGTTGATTTTAGTGTTTGGTGATTTTTTAAAAATAATTTTGACGCAAAATTTATTTATATTGGGTGATATTTGTTTTTAATTACTCTCCATTAATAATTGTATTATAATTTCACCACTAATTAAAAAAAAAATCATTTGAAATAAAATCAAAACCGTCCATAAAATACGTTGATATTTTTTTTTATCCATTTTCGCATACCCTCATTTAGTTACACTCGCCTGACAACAATGTTGTTAACTCACGCGCCACCACTATCATTTCTGAGCACATTGCTTCTTTATCATCATAATCATCATTCATCTCACTCTTTATCTTCATTATCGCACTTCGCAAAATCTCTTCCTATCACCAACCGTTTCTTCTTACACACTCGCCGGAGCTCACTCCTCCCGATGAGCGGAGAAGTCCTCGCCGCCTGTGACTCCTCGTCGGAGCACGTCTCCGGCGACTGGTACTCCGTTCCGGAGCTCCGATTGCGCGATCACCGGTTCACCATCCCTCTCGATCACTCTCGGGGACCGCATTCTTCTCCCAAGATCTCCGTTTTCGCTCGTGAAGTCGTTTCAGGTAGCACTAGTCAAAGTCAACCATGCCTTTCATGAATTTGAATGAATAGGTGAAGAAAAAAAATGAAATTTTGATGGTGGGTAACGAGTCACTGTGGAAAATGAAGGAAAAACCAGATTGTTCTTTTTTTTAATAACTGTGTAATTAGATTCAAGTTTTTGAATAATTGTACTTAATATTTTGTCAATTGGGTATCTGAGGCAGAATCCAATAGTGGCTTCTTAGATTATTTTATAGTTTTGAATATTTTAGTTTCATGGCACTGCTTCATCTTGAGAAAGTGGAAGTGTGGAACCTACTTGTGCTTTTGAAATTAAAAAACAAGGACTTAGGTACCATAAAAGTGTTTTGTGTTTGTGTTTTGCTTACTATTCCTGCAGTTTTGTTCAAGGAGTCGGGGGAAATATCATCGGAGCAAAAGAGATTATTTGAGTTCCTTTCAAGGAAATATGTTGGCAAATGGAAACAAGAGCAACATTGCATTCCTCATGTCCATAAAGAATTATGATTTTTCAAATGTTCTGTGCATATTGTTTTTTATGTTTTAAGTGGTCATTCTTTAACAAAATCAGTTTTTGATAAGCCATCCTGAATTTTTCATGTGATAAATTATCACTTTATGGATTGCCTAATTGATGAGCACTCATGCTTAGTCTTGTAAATCACCCTTTTCATCACCTTGGCGTATTTTTCTTAAGAAATCAGTAATTTTGTTGCAGTTGGGAAAGAAGAGCAAAAGTTGCCATACTTACTATATTTGCAAGGTGGACCTGGGTTTGAGTGCCGGCCGCCAACTGAATCCAGTGGATGGATTCAAAAAGTTTGTGAAGAGTTCCGTCTAATCTTAATGGATCAGGCATGATTTGCTAAGCATTTCTGTTGCCATTGCTGAGGTCTTGTTACAACTTTTATGTATAATCTGTTCTATACTTGTGTACTTTTCTGCAGCGAGGAACAGGCTTATCAAGTCCCTTGACTGTGTCATCAATGTCGCAATTCAAGTCTGCAGATGAATTAGCGGACTTCTTAAAATATTTTCGAGCTGATAATATAGTATATGATGCAGAGTTTATTCGTGTACGCCTTGTTCCAGATGCCGAACCTTGGACAATTTTGGGACAGGTATTCAAGTAATTTTTTTTACAATCTGTAACTTATGTTTTTTGGTTTTGTCCCCTATTTTTTCCCCATCTCCTTGAAAATTGATATTTATGAGTTCAGCTGTAGGTATTGTCTTATGCTTTGTTGCTGTAGGATCTTTTGGCTTAAAATGCTTTTGTACCTTTGAATTCCATGCTTGCTTATTCTTCTTCTGTTCATTTTTTAATTGTGGCAGAGCTTTGGTGGATTTTGTGCTGTCACGTATTTGAGTTTTGCACCACAAGGATTGAAGCAAGTTCTTATAACAGGAGGAATTCCTCCGATTGGAGGTGGATGTGCTGCAGACTCAGTGTACAAAGCATGCTTTGAGCAAATTAGACATCAAAATGAGAAGTACTACAAGAGATACCCTCATGATATTAAAATTGTTCAAGAACTTGTTAATTATTTAGCTGAAAAAGAAGGAGGAGGGGTGATCATCTGTCTCACATTTTCTTATTATTGTTAAGCTTGAAAATATGAGCTGTGTCTTGTCAAATACTGATTTTCTTCTTTCTTAACGTAGGTGGCCCTTCCATCTGGAGGCATCCTAACCCCAAGAGGGCTCCAGACTCTTGGTCTATCTGGCTTAGGATCCGGAGCTGGCTTCGAGAGCATGCACTATTTGTAATCATCATTACCATGTGTGTTTTAAAGCTATCTTGAATTTGATTTATTAAGTTTTTTTGTGCTAACCTTTCTAGGTTTGAGAGAGTGTGGGATCCTACTTTAGTTCCAGGAGCACCCAAGAAAATAAGTTACAACTTCCTTAGTTCTGTAAGAAAAAAATGTTTACATTTTTGTGATTATGAATACTGAATTTTAAATATCCTTCTGAATATCAATTGCCAATTTTTGTTATATGCAGTTTGAGAAGTGGTTAACTATTGATACTAATCCACTCTATGCTATTCTACATGAAACCATCTATTGCCAGGTAGATTTCTTTTTGGTTCCTCCTTGCTTATGCATGACCTATAGTTCTTCAACTCTGGTCCTCATTCTCTCTGTAGGGTTCTGCTAGTAAATGGTCTGCTAGTAGAATACGGACTGAAGTTGAAGACAAATTTGATGCAATTAGAGCTGCCAGAGAAGGGCTACCTGTACTTTTTACAGGAGAGGTAGGGTGTAGCAAATATCTTTTTCTTTACCTTGCCTAAAGCATATTTAGTTACTTAATAGGTATTACGTTAATGCTCTTCAGAGTAACTAAATTGAATGCAAATCTACTTATTTTCTTTTATTTGCTATTACAATGAGCTGATGCTTACCATGTCCATTCGTTTTTGTAGATGATTTTCCCATGGATGTTTGATGAGGTTCATGCCTTGAAACCATTCAAAAATGTAGCTCATATATTAGCAGAAAAGAAGGATTGGCCCCCACTGTATGATGTTCAGGTCCTGAATAACAACAAGGTAGTTAGTTTACTCAGCATTCATCCCGTGCAAGCTTGAGTGTGAGTGTGCAGAAGTGTAATGCGCCTGCACACTCACACTTGATGTGTTCTTACATATTATAGAATTTGATTATAATTATCTTGACAGCTGACATAATTTTTTTTTTAATTTCTGGTGAAAGCTTGTTAGAGAAAGGAGAGTGCTAACAATCATTAGGACACTGGAAAAGGAATAAAATATATAACTTTTTTGTGGAAAAGTATTACTAATGCACTCTTTTGTAGTTTTTAATGCAGCCTATCATTGTAATTTTCAGTAAAATTTTTCTATTTATTGATTCTTTAACTAGTGCACTTAAGGTACTTGTTAGCAACATCTTTAAAGAAAACTTTACTTTTTAACTTCTTTCTTACTTCCAGAATTACAACTCAAATGTTTGGTTTGATAACAATAAGTCGCATTCTTGAAAGACAAAATTAAACATCTTTTATTTTTGGTGTGAAGATTTCTTCTACGTTGGAATTTTTTTCTGTCTTCCCTTTATTTGCAGTTAATATTTGTGAGTGTGAGGAAAGGGAAGACGACTAGAGGCTTTAATTATTGTTAAATCCAAGTCCACGATACATCTTAACATGTTTCTTGCAATACTTGCGAATTATGATTGATACATCCTTAACAATTGAATATGTATGTCATGAAGAAGGTGAATCTCTTTCAGTTTTTCAGTTGTTAACTATAATTCAATGCTGGCAGGTACCTGTTGCAGCTGCTGTTTACTATGAAGACTTGTACGTGAATTTTAAGCTGGCCATGGAAACAGCTTCACAAATTGGAGGGATTAGGCTATGGATAACTAATGAGTTCATGCATTCTGGCTTGCGTGATGATGGGAACAGAGTTATTGATCATTTGTTGGGAATGTTAAATGGAAAGAAACCTCTATTTTGATCACTACAGCATCACCTCTCCAATTTTATTATGCCATGAGTTTTATTTTCTTCTGAGTAATGGAATTTTCCATTCTTCATATTAAATTTTATGGTTCTATTTATATTTCTTGAAATGTCTTTTTTAATATATTTAATTCTCATATTAGCATGTTATGTATTATCTTTTTATATTTAATATATTTATGTAGCTGGAGTGAAGTGAGTGCTCTTAGTTCGATAGTTTTTTCTGTTTTGAAATAGGGTATCATTTTTTTTTTTTTTAAGTCTAATGTTAAAAGTTAGTTTAATCAAATTCATGGGAAAGTTGGATTAAATAAAATTAAGATAGCTCTCAATTTTTAAAATTAAACTTAGTACTGGGTCCATTAGATTTGGCTCATATTGATATCCTTAATAATAATTTTTTTCTTTCTAGGTTTTAAGAATTTTATTCTAAGAAGTAATTTTTCTTGAGTCACGCCATAAAATTCTCTATAATTGACAATGTATTATTTCAAAATATTTTATAATTTAGATTATGATAAAATTCTTATGCAGATTTAAAATTACATATGATACATAAATGTAGGTTTTATTAAATAAAGAAATGAATTTATATAACTTTATTTAATAATTAATTATATATGTTATTATATGAAATATATGTTATGTTAATAACTAATATTAACTTGTCAAGTGATATTTTCTAATAGTATAGTTGTGATATTAAATGGATGAGATGTCATTGTCATAGGATGATATCGGACCATTTGTTAAAAAATTAAATTTTATGAGATTAAAAATTATTGAAAAGATTGAAAGACCAAAAATCTATATTAAATTATATTTATGAATTAAAAATATATTTTATTTTCCAGAAATTGATTAAAAAATTAATGAAGAAGAACTAGGATTGAGCTAATGAAAGCGATGGACTTTCCCTGAACAAAATAATAATAATAATAATAATAACAGTAGAAGAGAAAAATCAAATTACACAGAAGGATGCAATTATTATCAGCAAGTCACCAGATGAGTGATATGTTCTGCAGATAGGACCAACGAAACCAACAAGTGACGTGTTGGCTTTTTCTCTTTTTTCTTCTCTGTTTTTTTCATTTTTGTTTTTGGTTTTTCCAAAATTCGGCATAAGATTGTGTGCCATTGTTATTATCATCAAATGGTGGCATTGGGAAGAGGAATAACGGTGGCTAACACCATGATTCTCAGATCAGAGCTCCAACCTATGGCACCCGACCGCATTAGTTCTTCCTCTTCTTCTCGTCAAAAGGACCTCGTTTTCGTCGTCAACCCTCTTGGTCTTGTCTCCTTCACTCTTTTTTTTGTTAAAAAGATTCCTTTTTTCTTGTTATTCAGCTGAATTAAATGATGGTGGTGGTGAAATTTGAACTACCCATTATTCCTTTTTCTTTTTTCCATGAAAGTAGACCTACTCTTTATTTCTTTGGATATGAAGTTTGATTTTTTTTGAAGAATCGGCACTCAAATCAACAGCTTGTTTTAAAAAATGTGCATTTCTAACGTGATTTCTGTACACTAAAAGGGTGTGTTTGGATTCATGTTTGATCGATTCACATTTACTCTAATGCAATTAGTTGTAGTTTTTGTGTTAACATGATTTTAAAGCATGTAAAACGTGATTCCAACATGCTATACTTGTTACGCATGTTAATGGTGATGTGAGTGTGTATGTGCAGTGGTGCTTAGTTAAGCATTTCTCAAAATTTGAAACCAGAAACTTGGGTTGCAGGTGCTAATGGGAAGACTGGTAAAGAATGGAGGAAGTTAGTTCCATATCTACGGTCTCGCCTTGGTAAAGAATGCAATGTGAGTGAGTCTTGTATCTACTGTGTCATGAGTGTTTGTTTATTTGTTTTTAGGGATGAACTCTGCCGATTTATTTGCTTTGTGTAATGTGTTCATTTGGAAATTCTGTTTTTCTTTGTGATTAGATATGTGAATCCTTAACCTCGGGTCCTTGTCATGCTATTGACATAACAAGAGAGGTTAGTCGGAGTGTTTGAAATAAATTGGTGTTGTTTATACCGCCTCGAACGAGTTCGTGAATCGTTATCCTTGTGCTGTGTAGGCTATAAGGGAGGGGGCTGATGCTGTCATTGCTGTTGGAGGTGATGGAACTCTTCATGAGGTGAAAAATGCTTCTCTCTTTAGTTGGTATTTTTTATTATTGGGACTGATAATCTTATTTCATGGATATATTTTCATTGATATTGTTACTTATAGACATTCTCAAATGAAATTCTTGAGCATCTTCTACCTTTAAAACAGGGTTCACCAAGCTTGCCTTTATTTTGTTTATTATAAAGAGAAATGCTGGAAGCACAATTTCTAATACACTCTGTTTGATGCACATTTCATTATTTGTTGAAACTTGAAATTCATATGAGATTCACTAAGGCTTTGTTTGGGAGTTGGTTTTTGGAGGAAAGGGGAGGGGAGAGAATGACTTATGTGATAATAATCTTTGTTTGAGAGTTTTTAGATGATGAGAGAGAGAGCATTTAGAAACCCTCCGAAGCTAATGTTTTTAAGTTTCTTCAATTTCAGTTTTTTTTTAGCCCTCCTTCCCCTTCTCTTCTCCTCTCCTCTCTTACCCTTCATACTATTTCCTTCCCCCTTCCCTCCAGACTTCCAAAAAAGCCTAAATAGGAAGTGAGACCTGCCTCATTTGTTGGGAACCATAGTAATTTCAACTAATAATAAAAAGTGTGTTGAAAAAAGTGTGCTGCTAACATTATCCTTGTTATAAAACACGTTTAGTTGATATCAAGTGAAGTTGTTGATGAATCTAAATATTCCTTCTTGTTGTTATCCAAATGCACCTTGGTTTATTACAAGCAGGTTGTTAATGGGTTTTTCTGGGCTGGAAAACCTGTTGGTAGTCAGATGAAGGAGTCTGCACGTTCAACTGCTCTTGCTGTAAGTACTTGCACCAGAATGCAATATTCTCAGTTTTTATTTAATGCCTGTGGTCTGAGATTCTTCATCTGTAATAGATATTCTTAGTGAGTTGCTTATTGGAAAATTTGACTATGTTCTGGCTTTATGCAGCTCATCCCCTTGGGAACTGGTTCTGATTTTGCAAGAACATTTGGGTGGTTAGTTTTTGTTTGTACTTCATTATCCTTCTTGTGCTTCTTATTTAACTGAAGCTTATTAGCTTTATATAATTGAAGTGAATGGAAATGTCTTTTGGGTCTTTTCCAGGAAAAATGATCCCTACGAGGCCATTGAACGAATTTCTAGAGGTTTCTTTCTTTTTCTTTATTTATGATTGCTTTATTATTCTATTTTACCTGTGTGATGGCTCAAGCATGTTGATACTGGCCTGAATGTTATGTTTTCTTACATGCTTTTAGTTTGTCACTTATTACATTCTAATTTAGGTCTTCTTTAGGGTTGAGATCAAGGATAGATGTTGGTGTTATCAGCGGAGAGAATTGTGATCATCATTACTTCATAAACGTTGCCGACATTCATTTGTAAGGCTAACTTAGAAAATTCAAAATAAGGGTAACACATGAATCATATCTGAAGCATGCTTGACCAAATTTTACAGGAGTGCAAAGGCAGGTTTTCATGCTTCTAAGTACAAGAGATTTGGTAACCTTTGCTATATCATTGGTGCATTGCAAGCCTTCATGGGGCATCAAAACCAGGATCTAAGAATCAAGGTCAGTGTTAGTTTGAGCTCCTGTATAATTTTACTTTTTCCATATTTCGTAGTCTGTGGTAGTGCACCAGAAGTGTCACACCAGTTTTGTAGCTCATGAAAAATGCAGTTCAATGAAGGTGAGTGGGAGACTTTTCCTCAAGTGACAGCCCTTTGTGTTGGAAATGCAAAATACTTCGGTGGCGGTATGAAAATTACGCCAAATGCTGATCCTTTCAGCGGAAATTTAGAGGTAAAATGACTTTCTGTGAAATCTCAAAAATGAAGATTATCATCTATTTTAATAATCTACTGGACTAAACCTCTTCCTAAATCCTGCAAATCTTTTTCTATTGAAGTATAATTTTTTTTGTTTTGCTCTTTTTTTATTCTGCAGGTTGTGATTCTTCAGAACTTTAAATGGTATGATTTTATCCTGAAATTACATAAGCTATACAGTGGGACACATCTCTCGGTTAAAAATGTATCTGCTAGAAGGTATAATCTTTTCCAAAGAAGTCAATATACCATTCTTGTCTTCTTCTGTTGCTACTCTCTAATTCTTGATGTTAAATATCAATTGATAAGGTTTAGATTACTAATGAAATTGGATTACAATACACGATCTTGTCAAATCTGAACATGACATATTGATATTGGATATTTTTAGTGTAAGGTCAATTTTCTTCTTTTCAAGTCACCTGGTTAACTATGATGCCAATTATGTAAGTGGTTCTGGAAGCCTACACACCATTCTCTATAACGTACTTTTATCGTGATGGTGGAATTTGGAGAAAAATTATCTTCTGTTTATTATTGTGTGTATTGTTTTAATTGGAAGTAACTTTTCATGTCGATGTGCTTTAAATTTACTGAATTGCAACTAAGAAGAAATGTGGAAGTAGGTGCCTAGCAACAGAATTTTATTGTGAGCTTTATTGGGTTTGGTTTTCTTGACAGTTTACTGTATGTGCTACCTTTTTCAGCTCAAAGAACGCTTAGGTTTGCAGTGGTACTCATCCAATGTTTTTTTTTTATATTGTAGTGTACTTTCTATCGAAGTGGATGACATCTCAGGCAAGGGTGGTATTTATATTCAATCTGATGGGGAGCATTTGGGGTTCCTTCCAAAAAAGATTTGTGTTCTGCCTGGTGCTATCGAGATGATAGTCTGATTCAGTCAGAGAATGACAGAACCAACGAAATATAGATGATGTCATTCATGCTGTGTAATTTGCCAGATTAGATAGAGGGAGGAAGAGTTTGTTTATTGTGTGTAGGCATCAGAGTAGGATTCTTACATCTTTTGCTGTCGCCTGAGGGAGAATAGTTGTAATTTTGAATCAGCAATGAATCATCATATATATTTTTTAACTGTATAATGTTTCTACAGTTATAGAATGTAGAGAAAAGGTATAAATTAGAAATTTAATAAAGTTTATCATGCCATCAACATTTTTTGAACTTTTCACTCTTATGAGTCATGACAATGACAATTAAGGTATATATTTATTTGACTCTTGTAATATGATTGACTTCAAATTTGATTGCAGGAAAGTGATTATTTGGTTCATTGAAAACCTTAGAATGAGTTCAAATGTTCAATGTCAATGCTGTGAAACAGTGTATCAATTTTAAATTTTAGAAGTTACTTGCAAAAAAAAAAAAAGATTGTGAAGTGGATAAAACATAATGTCAATTTCTCTAAATCAAGATTCTGAACCTCATAGCAATGAGCTTCCCAAGCTTGCTAGCATGGTAGAGCTCTGAATCTTAACTTCTGGACGTTGCTGCCTCTGTTTTCTGTTCCCATCTAATTGGGAAGCGCATGAGTGAGCTCTTGAACTTGCTGGAGATGGGTCAGGCTGAGGGTCTGGAGCTGTTGATTGTGCCACAGTTGTGGACACAATCAAAGGGGACTCTGAAATGTATTTTGTTACAGGTTTGCTCATATCTTGGTGCTCCTTTGTTTTTTGGATTTATTCAAATTTCTTTCCTTTTGTTCATGAATAATAGAGTCCTGTGAGTTTTCAAGGATTATTTGACTGCATTGGTTCACCTCAATTTTTTTAAAGGTAGCATATTCTGCATATTTTGTTCTTTGAAAATTTGAAGTTTAAAGCTTTGGCTATTGATCTTAATAATAGACACATTGTATTGAAATTAAAAATGCTCGGTTGGCAATTGAAATATCCTTGGGTGATCTCCTTACCTTCTGCATATTATGTCAACATAATATTAAGGAAAAATCAAGCCTCCTTTGTTTAGCTAGTCATTGTTTCATTCATTGTACTCCACAGAGACCAGTGCATCATGTGCAAGGGGCAATGCCTCCTTTTTGCTGCAGATGTTCTTCCAGGTTCAGCCTTTCTTGGCATGTCATAAAAGACCTTAATGTAAATACACAAGCTTTTGTGCAACCCTGACTTCTTTTGAATAAGTTTATTGGCATGAAGAGAAATGCATTATGAGATTGTCCAACATCTTCTGCCTCTGATGAGTTAGGTAACTCACCCCAAACTCAAACAATGTCCTTGCTAGAGGCAGTGGGAGGTATACATGGTGGAAGGCACTGCTAAAACAAGCATTTACTGCAGCCAAGAGGATGTGAGAAATAGATAATACTGGGAAATCTATTTGGGCTTGTTTAGCATGAAAACTTTCTTACGTAGGATCTGTTTTGGTTTGAAAGAAACATATTCTGTTTTTATTTCCTGTTCTCATAAATAATTACAAAAATGTTACCTTTGTTATCACTTCGTTATCTTTAAAATTAGGAAACAAAATGAAAACAAGAAGGTAGGTTTGTCATTATCTGTGAAAACATGAAATGAAAAACTCAATTGAGTTTGAAGTCCTACCTTAGTTGTAGAAAAGTTTAATGAAGATAATATAAGATAATAAATTTTACGCCTAAATACAAAGTTTTGAGAGGAGTTATGTTCACTCGTTGTTTGTTGCTTATCTCGTTAGTGCAGGTATCCTTTATTTCCAAGCTCCTCTGGACCCCACCAAGCTCAACCAATCAAAATAGCTTTCAGTTTAAACCCAAAAATCTCCTCTTTGATTCCTCATTTTTGCTTTCTTAGTTGTAACTACTAAGCAATTTACACATTCTGCCGATCAATATCTGTGTTAAATGGTATCAAAGTCGGTGGTCTAATGTGTACCATTATGCTTTGAGCAAATGCCTTGGCAAATGAATTAATTAGATTACGTAAGAGCACTTGGGATTTCAACCATTTAATGATGCACTTTCTGCTTCCACAAGCTATCCCTTTTTACTCATTCTACCAAGTTATGCCCACATCTGGCTTCACTGGTTTTATCCTCGTTTTTCTTCCCAAAAAGGAAAAGTGAAAAAGAAAGATATATCTGCAAAATTACTTTATCAACATATTAGTATTTTTCTTTTATGTTATTCAATAAGATTAATTATTGGTTAATTTTTTTTATTATCAGTCATATTAAAGAATTAAAAGGAAAAAATTATTAGAAAAATAGATAGCTAACTTTTATATTCTTAACATATAGAATAATTACAATTGTACATTTGACGTAAGCAATTTATTACACTGTGCTAGTTTTATTGGTAGGTAAACTGTATATTATTTCAACAAGTGTGAAGAGAATGTGTGTGTGTGTATATATATCCTGAGAGATGATGCAAATATAATGGAATTAATAGACATGTTCTCTATCTCCTATACCCCCTATATCTTGCACCCAATGGCAAACTCAACTAAATCCAACAACTTCTGCTCAACTGCCCCTTGAGTTCATACCATAACACATAGGAAACGTGTCACATATGCACTACTAATATTTCGTTATCATCAATGCAAATGTTCTGTATTCTACATGCGCGTGTATATGTTGATGGCAACCAAACCTTTTCTACCATCCACCATCTTTTACTTCCCCTTTATAAGTTTCAACCCCAAAACATTCTCACTCTCTCTTTAATCTTCTTCAATTCATTGTGGAAGACCTAATGGAAAGCCAAGACCCACCAAACCCACCACCACCTCCATTAATGCTACCACCCCAAAACCAAAACAACCCTTTTCTCTTCACGCCTTCAATGTTGCAAAACCCTCTGGACATCCAAGATCAAGGGCTCTCTGACATTGATTGGAGTAACCTTTTCTCTACCCAAAATAGCTTATTGCTTAATGCGGATGCTAAGGACACCATTGAATGCGCTTCTTCGTCTTCTTTCATGGCTGAAAACAATGGAGCTCCTGAAGAGGAAAAGGGGAATAAGGAGAAAAGGAAGGGGGGGAGAATGAAGAGGACCACACGAGTTCCAAGGTTTGCGTTTCAAACAAGAAGTGCAGATGATATTTTAGATGATGGTTATCGTTGGAGGAAATATGGGCAAAAAGCTGTGAAGAATAGCACATATCCCAGGTATGTGTGTGTGTTAAATGAAATTAATTGGATTACGTTGCATGCATGCATGGTTCTATGATTTTCTATGGAAACATGGAGGATATATAATTCATGGAAAATGTTCCCATCACACCCTAAAACGGGGTGCATAAGGGGTAGAGAAAAAGAGAGATTAAAAAAAGTAAAAAATGCAATGAGTATGATAAAAAATAAGAGAAAAATAAAAACATATATATGTATGAGAAAATAAATAGAAAACTAAAATTGTTCTTCCTAGAGAAGGCATGTAAAAAATTTGGCTCTCAACAACATGGGTATAAAGAAGTGACACTGTCCAAAGTTTCAATTTGAATTGGGTTAATCAATTTGAAAGAAAAGCCTTCTTTTGTTGTATTTCCTTTCCTTGTATTTTTAAGAGCCATGCTGAAATTCTCTGCCGTCTAAATGTTAAGAAATTTCACCGTTATATATATCGCTTAATTCAAGTTTTAGATATGCATATATGTAAATTCTGAAGTTATTTTTTTAAAATAACATATCAGCAAATAAAGGCTCAAGCTTAGTAGAATTTGTTTGCATGATTATGACAAATTTTATTGATCTTTTATATAAAAATATAAATATGTGTTAATATTATTTGTTTTTTCTAGCACACTTTAATTTATTATTGATTAATATTTAAAACGTTTTTAGTAATAAAATTTATAATTTATTTAAAAGTTTATAACTTATTGAGTATTAAGATCCATATAAACTTTCTTACGCATAATTTCATAAATTGAAATAAATTTTAGTTAATAATAATAATAAAATATTATAAAATATGTGTTAATATTGTTTTTTCTATTTATTCCATCTATCTATCAAACTTTAGAGTATGCTAGCTCCTAACATTCTTCATTACTCTATTTCTTCATTGAAGGTCAATAATATATATTTTAAAATACTCTTATTATTTCAATACCCAATTCTCAAGAAGAGTGATGTTAATTATTTATAGGATTTCATCATTATTTTCTTAGACCTCAAATATTGCGCTGCAACAATTTTTTATACAATTAGTCTTTCATGTTATTGACTGACCTTAAAATAAGATGAAGAACACGGCTTTAGTATTTTGAGTATTTTATTAAGAATAATACGTTTTTAATTTTTTTTATATGTCACCATTTAAAAAAAATTATTTGTCACTTTAAAAGTTTAAGAAAATATTTATTACTTTTTTTTTTATTATACTCTTACTCTTTAAAAACTAATAAATAAAAAAAATTAATTAATTAAAAATTTTAAAAATTTAAAAATAAATAATTTTTAAACAAATTAAGACATTAACTAATTTTCTTAAACTGTGTGAAATAACTTTATATATGATAGATAAAGAAGAAACAGAGAGAATATATATGAATGAGTTATAACATTTATTTAAGAAAAGAAAATACTAAATATTTAATAAAAATAATACTTATTATATTAACAATATAGATAATTACTTTAAATATTTAATAGAATATATTCAATGATCGAATATTAAAGAAAGACTGCACAGATACACCATTGTTTTACTAAATCTTTAATATTTATATTACATTATATTATATGAACTGCATATTTCCTTTACATATCTTTGATTCTTGGAAACTAATAAACTACAGACACATACTGATTAATAAAGGGAAATAAATTTATTTTTAACAAGCTAAACAATATTATTGGATTTTAAATTTAGGACATTGAATTACTTCCAAAATTTAAGATGGAAGGGACTAACCTTGTTCAACCAAAATTACTTTCACACTGACCATGTGAATTGGCTTAATTAAGGTAACCATCAATATAGCTTGTAAAAAATCAGGGAAGGGGTCTCGATATCAGAGTTGTCTATTCCAATTTTGTAGATTTCAACCAATGAACTATAAGATGCTTTAATTAACATATCCATTTCTCATCCAGGATAACTAAAATATTTTAAAAACAATATTCATAAATTTTAAAAAATACAACAAACTGCTTGAAAAAAAAAAATTAAAATGAGGTATTATATAGATTTTGAAACTCACTACAAGATTAAAGGTATATATACTGCTATTCTAAACTCATAATATCTATACCAATGGTTTAATCTTTACTAAAAATGTTATATTAACAAAGATTAATTAAATACTAAATTGTTGGTAATTAAATGAGAATTTTTTGTAACGAGACAACTAAATTCATTTGCATCTTGGTCAATTTTAAAGAGATGACTGAATGCTTTTGTGTTTCATTATCATTTTGCATTGCGAAAATGGGCAATAAAGAAGCTATTACCGCTGCACTCATCACACATGCAATGTGAAGAAACAAGTGCAAAGGCTATCCAAAGACACAAGCATTGTGGTGACGACATACGAGGGAATTCACAATCATCCATGCGAAAAGCTGATGGAAACTCTAACCCCTCTTCTGAAGCAAATACAATTTCTTGCTAGCTTGTAAAGTGGAGCTGTTTCTTGGCCACAGCTACATGGATGCACGTATATATCAAGCACAGAAGTTAACTTACTTATATAAATGCTCTTTGCATTTCTAATTACTTTATGTCATATATATTACTCTAAGAAGTTTATTACTAGTTTGCTTGTAAACTTAATTTTATATGAATCAAGATCAATCTATATATGATGATGATCACTTGCGATGATCTGGGTAATAAAACTTGTGTACATTTTACAATAAATCACGCTGTACTTTTCAACTTCAGTCTTTCTTTGAGTTTCTTGAATTCTTTTTTACATGTCTTGAGGTACTCAACTAATCCTTAATTTATGGTTAATTTTATAATTTTTAAATAATGAAAATGTTTTAAGTTATGATACCTTAATTCACCCATATATAAATGCATCAACAAAGCTTTTCTCCTCCTCAAGGGAGAAAAAGAAAAGAAAAGCTTTTCTCTACTATCATTTTCAGTTTTCTATCTTAGTTGGCCATTACAAAATTTCAACTTTCCAGTTCCAATACATTATCATCGAATAATTAACTTTTGATTTCCTGCTTCATTACCTTTGCAATTATTCCTTCTCTAACTTTTATCTTGAGTAAACTTGTTTTATTTATTTTCCGCTTAATTTCTTTGTCAAGTATCCTAGTAAATTTCCAACATTCATACATTCTTATTGAATGACTTTTTATCTCTTTCTTCTTTACAATTGATTAATTCTCCTTGCACTAACCCTTCGCATTATTTTATATTTTTCATATAATTATTTTGCCTTTTACAGTGTCCGCTAGTCAGTTGCCCATTTCAGTTCAGCAATATTCTACAAATATTTCACATTGAAAACTTAATAAAATCACGTTTCAATGTAAAAATTATAATTTATAGAGTTGAAATTGATCCACATTTGAATGGATGGATTTGACGGAAATTAAAAAACGTTATTAATCATTCTGATTATATATTGTCTTAGTATGCAAAACTAAAAAAGAAGACGATAATTTTTTATTTTAAATAAACATATTTCAATTGATAAATTTTTAAAATAAAAGATATAAATTAATATATTAATAAAAATTTAGTATATTATCATCCTAAATAATAATTTGAAATTAGAAGTATACCCTCCCATGTTCTCCAATAACCCTCTCACAAAGCGATGGGAGATGCTAGTGTTCTGATGCCTTGGGTCGTTAGTCCATTGTTGGTCTCTACTAGGACACAAAGATGTTAGCCCATAAAATCTAAAATTGCCCCATCCAAAACCTCCACAACCTGTCAAGCATAAAAAATAATAAAATTAGTAACTTATTTTAAAAAATATAAATATTTTTTAATTTTTAAAATATTAAATAAATTATCATTGTCAATTTAAAAACGATAAAAAATTATCTATGTTGATAGAAACAATAGCAATATTTATTTTATATTTAAAATATAATTTACAGAAGATGCTTCCCATCTATCAAATTTCGTCGAACACAACCAAAGGTATTGAAGCTGGCCAGATAATGCCAAAGAATGAATAATCTGTATACAACTTTTTCATCAATTATTGCCGCATATTTATCCCAAACACAAAGCTAGATTCTACTTTCTACGTTATCTTTTCCCCTGTATTATATTTTTTCTATAAATTAAATATACATAATCGTTTTTTCTTTCTTTCATATTATAATATTCTAATCTTGAATATAATACTTTATTCTTTCTTTTTCTTTTCTCTCTCCTTTTCTGGTGATTTTTAAGGGAGTAGAAGTGATTTATTCTTTGATTGTTACTCTTTTAAATGGAAAGTGTCAAATTAATATTAGCTAAACAAAAATTCAAATCACAGACACTTTATAAACAGAATGAATGCCAAAGGAACATTTGCAATTTAAAAATGTAGAGTTACCAATAACTCTTTTTGAGGTTCTCTTTTTCATTTTCTCTCGAATCCCCTTATTACAAGGACTAGCACGTTAAGCTTCATAATTCATTCACATTATTGTACCTTCATTTACAATATTCACTTTCTTCTCTCCACTCACCAACGTGATCACACCCATCAGCATTAACAATGGAGGCTAATTTTGTCGGCTAATTAAATGTTCTCTTTTTTCTTTTCTACTTATTCCTCCTACTTTTCTTTCACGTTTCACAATCCATTTTCCATTTTTTATATTTGTACCTCAACTCTTTTGTAAAACAAAGATCAACAAAAATATTGAACTGGAGTGAATTATGTACCAATGCAAATGGATCAAGTACAAAGAAGATAAGGGGGTGTAAGATAAACCCCACGATTCAATAAACTTAATCCAAATCAAATACAAAAATACAAGTTAGTTTGTATTGTTGATTTGATTCAATTTAATAATAACATGTTTAATATAATTAGTTCAAATCTTGAATTTTTATAATACTAATTTAATGACCTAGCTTGTCAAAGTTTAATTTTTTTTTATTGACATTCAATAATATTTTGATTGGTTACTAATTTACACGCACATAAACACGTAAATAGTACACATTATAGTTTAATTTAATTGAATATTTAACTTAAACTTTACAAAATATATCAGTATGTTTCTATTTGATGGACTTTAAACTATACATTATCTTTATGAATCTTGAAAACTTTTCCAGATTCTCACACTACCTAGCTTTGACAAGTTACATTTTATATTATTTTTGGTAATTTGTTATAAATTTATTTTTTTCAACTTTAGAAAGGTCTATTAATTATTAGTTAACTTATTAGCTTTTTTTAACTTTTTATATTATTATCATATCTATATTAGTTCACTTGCTTTTTCAGCTCTAAATTATTCTTAAAATAGATATATCAATTAATAAAATTAAGTTATTACCAAAATCAACGACTACTACCAAGCATACAGCATAATGCACCAACTAAATTTACCGTACGATCAAATTTTCGTTTCTAAGCACAAAAAATTATTTCTCCCTATTCGCCAACAAAAATCGTTCATTCAAATTTTCTTTTTAATTATAACAAATAATTGATTTTATTTTGTTAAATTTATATTTTAAATTTTTTTTAGATAAATGTTTGAAATGAGACACACTATAATTAAGAGTTAAAAAATGAAAATAATAATAGTTTTTCATACTTAAGATAAAAGAAAATACAGAGAGAGGTTCCTTCCTTGAACAGGTGGCACTGTACGTACATGACACGCAACACAAGTAGCCGACATGAATGTAATAAAACGACACCGGGAAAGACTTAGGAGTGTCCCTTTATGATTATCATTTATGATCATCGTAATCGGATCTAATCCTATTCCTAGCTCCCCAAAAGTCCAGATCCGCGAAGCAAAAAGGGGCCGCGCGCGACACGTGTGACGTGTCGGCACTGAGTTTTGGTTTGTAGTATAAATATGGGAGAGGGAGTGGGTTTGAGTGTGAAGGTATCGTTGGGTGTAATCGGTGTGAGTCTGATATTTGCAGTGTTGAAAATGTCGCAGTTGTTAGACAAAGCCAAAAACTATGTTTCTGAGAAAGTTGCCAACATGCCCAAGCCTGAGGCGACTGTCACCGACGTCGATTTCAAGCGCGTCAGCCGCGAGTGCGTCGAGTATTTGGCTAAGGTCTCCGTTTCAAACCCTTATTCCACTCCCATTCCTATCTGTGAGATCAAGTATTCACTCAAGAGTGCTGGCAGGTTCACCTCTTTGTTCCTCTTTTTTCTTAATTATTATTATTGGTTTTCTTTTCGTTTTTATTTTTAATTTTCTTGTGTTTGCGATTTTGATGCAATCATCGATCGTAAACCAATGGTGAATCAGGTTGATTTTTAGGATCGTTTTGCAGGGCACTGCTAAATTACTCTTCAAGATATATTGTGCTCTAATTTTGAGTTCTGAAAATTTAAACTCTTTAATTAATATTGATGATGTTATAAAGTTATTTATTTATTTATTTTATTATCTTTATATATTTAAAATGTTAAATTAAACGACGTTTTATCAAATTAGATATCAATAAGGAGTTTTTAGAATTTTAGAAATTAAATTACCTTACTCATATATTTTTAATGACTGATTCAAGGATTATTTAATGAATTACTTGATTTTTGTATAATTTATTTTATTTTCCGTGTTGATTGTCTTAAATAATTTAATGGAGATATTCTTCAAACTAGATTTTCTGTGTTTTAATATGCTTATTGTTATTTTTATGAATTTAACTTTATATATTCATAGTCTTAATTAAAAATTAACTTTACTGATGTTGTATATTTGCATTAGCTATTTTTGTTGGTTTGTAAATTTGATTTGTTGTTGGGTGGTGAAAGGGAGGTTGCATCAGGAACAATCCCAGACCCAGGGTCATTGAAGGCAAGTGACACAACAATGTTAGATGTGCCAGTGAAGGTGCCTCATAGCGTATTGCTAAGCTTGGCAAAGGACATTGGTGCCGATTGGGACATTGATTATCAATTGGATCTTGGCTTAATTATTGACCTTCCTGTCATTGGCAACTTCACCATTCCTCTTTCTCAAAAGGGAGAGATCAAGCTCCCTACCATTTCTGATATGTTTGCCTAACTTTACCACAAAACCCTTGGAACAAACAAAATAAAAAGTACACCCTTATCTCTTTTCTTTATCATTTCGCTTCACTTTTTTTTTTCCAATTTGGTTGTACCCTTTCTGTTCTTAGTATATATGGATGCTGTCAAGTATAAACTACACGTGACTATAGTGTTTTACATCACAACTTTGAAAGGAAGTTTTTTTGAAAGCTTGGGTTCGTAAGTGTTACAACTCTATGCCAAAACAATTCAATGTTAAGGGCTAATTCGATTGACCCCTATTACCCATTACCCTTTCTAGTTTGGTAAACATACCTCATTTACGAATGTTGTTCACAAGGCAAAACTGAGTGTGATTTGGACGAGTAAAACTAATGTGTTGGTTTATGTTTCAAAACATTATTCTTGGTTAACCACAGTACATCATGGGTACATAAATCATAATTTTACATGCCTAGCCTTGTTAAATAGTCGCTAGATCAATACAATGTTAATTGAATATTTTTTTTATTTGACTTAAATTAATTATCACTTTAAAATATTAAGAGAATATTATTTTTTTAATGATACCTTTATTTATGGTGGATACATTACTTTTTTTTTATTTATCCTGTTACTTGGGCTCATTTACGATTTCAACTTCTATATGAATACATTAAATAATCCTGTTTGCATGGTTTGAAAAACTAGACAAACGAGTTACGATCCTCTCAACTGAAAAATTTGCTGTAGAAACGTGCAATATTTAATCAAATAATAAAATATGTTTCAAATAATATATATTTGATATTAGATGGAGTAAAAATATTACTATAGGAAATAATTTTTCTTAGAGAGCCTTATCTAACGATAAAAAGAATAATTAAATCGTGTTCTAAAACAAACAAAAATGACACTTGGAGGCCTGCTCTTTTCTTATGCTTCTGGGTTTAACTGGTGCCTTGATTGAATGCATTTTTCATTTTAGGTCTTTTAGGACTCTTTAGGCCCGAGAGAGAACTTTGTGTAAAAATAATAACTGACATTAAACAATATGGGGATGTAGCTCAGATGGGAGAGCGCTCGCTTAGCATGCGAGAGGTACGGGGATCGATGCCCCGCATCTCCAATTAATATATATATATTTTTATTTTTATAGTGGCTTAAATTTTTCAAGATATTTTGATTTATATTCTTCCTCTTCTAGAACTTCAAAATTGCAAAATAGACCAAGCCTGTTGATGTAAAGATTTGCATGACTCAACAAGTTTTCGTTCCTAACTAGTTGTCATTTTTTTATTTTTTTTCTTCAACATTGATCTAATTTTAATATGCCAAAATGAAAATAACAACAAGGCTTGCAATCATTCTTCAAATACCAAATCAATAAAGAAAAAGTCAAATTTTTGCATTGACCAGCACATAATTATAACATTTTATGAGAAAAAAAATAAAATTATACAAATTTACAATAAGAAAATTAAAATAATATTAATATTTTAGTGCACACACAAATTGTTATTGTGTGCATGTTAAATGTTTAGTAATAGTTAATTTTAATATGTTTTTATTTGAATTAAAGAATTAATCTTTATATAAGAGTTCTAGAGAATTTATATATATCAAGGAATTGAGTAAAAATTATCTTAGTAAAAATCTATCTTAAACCTAAAAAGAAACTAATTGGAAGTTGATTTATCACTTAACAATAGGTGAAGTCTATATTCTATCCCCCTTATCATTGATTAAATTCAAACTCTCTAATTACGTACTTTTTGCTTTGCAATCCTTTTTTCATATGAATTTTTATTATAAATGAATTTTGCAAGTTTTATTTTCTGGAACTTTTTTTTTTTTTTAGTAAAATAATGTTTTAAATTTACTTCTTGCGAGACGAAACTCTACTTATTATTTTATTATTTGCATGATTCAGTATCTTTCTTAGAGCAATTATCAGCACACACAAAAAAAAAAAAAAACTTTAATAAGCTATGAAATATTTAATTAAAAAAAAAACTTTCTTTACAAAGATCAATTAGCTAGTTGCCAATTTAGATAACAAAAAATCTATATTTATAATTTTATTAAAATATTTTTATTAATAATTATCATCTTGATCACATTTCACTTTCAAAAATGTAAAATTCTAAATACCCATCGAATTTTTTAATTTTTGGGCATTTAATCGTCTAACAATTTTGAAATTGAAATGTTGACTCATTAAAAATCTTGTTTGAATCCATGCACATATAATGTCCCTTTATTATTTGTAAAAGAGATGGCGTCTAGACTACAAATTAAGACATCTACCGACATTTATATATTAAATATGAATTCTTATTTTTAAATAAAAATATATTTATAAAATCTCTTTAATTCTATATTAGTAATAATATTTAATTTATTTTAAAATACTAGGATTATTAAATTTAAATATAATAAAAAATTATATTTTTTTTATAAATTATTTAAATTAATAATACTCACAGCGGGTACCAAAAATTCATTAATTATTACAATTTATCCACCAACCATGGCAGCCAAGCAAGTCTCGTAACGTGTCTCTGAAACCGCATGAATGCACGCTGTTCACTGTTCAGGATAAGTATTTATCGCCGACATGTGTATGCATCCATTAAAGGTCATTGTCGATCTACAACTGATGCTCAAGGACGCAATTTTGTCTACAATGGCCATGCCAAAACGTCTCCATCATGAACCAATATTTAAGTATTACGAGCCAGTGGATGATACTTCACACATATTCATCCATCGTTGATTCATTTGGTGCTTCACCAATGGAAAGAGAGCTGTTCCTTCACATGAATGGTGGCAAGGGAGAAGGGAGTTATGCCAACAACTCCTTACTACAAGTACCATTTTTCTCTTCATATAAATGTGATCCATATTAAATTATTTTAGCTTTATTAAATTAGGATATTGATCTGATCGTTTTGATTTTCTTGCAGAGAAAAATGATACTTAAAGCCAAACTCATATTTGAAGAAACAATAACGGGGTTATATTGTGATTTTTCTTCGAATTGCTTGAAAGTGGCAGATTTAGGTTGTTCTGTAGGACCAAATGCACTTCTTGTGACCTCAAATGTTATTGACATTGTTGATACCATAAGCATCCGCTTGAATCGTGAACCACCCACACTCCAATTTTATCTCAATGATTTATTTGGGAATGATTTCAATACTATTTTCAAATCACTCATTGATTTCTATAAACGATTGGAAGAAGATAAAGGACACAAGTTTGGTCCATGTTTTATCAATGCCACCCCTGGATCCTTTTATGGAAGGCTCTTTCCTAATAATTCCATCAACTTCTTCCATTCCTCCAACAGTCTCCATTGGCTCTCTCAGGTCATCAAATAAACTCTAATCACTTCCCTCACAGCTGATTGAGATGTTATGGTTGATAAGACCTAGTAAATGTTTCACTATATTTTTCCAATGTCATTTCAAGTTCTATTGTTTGATTTGCCGATTTAAAATCTTACATTGTATATTTATAATTTTTTTACAGGAGATAATTCTGTACCATACACTCTTTTAAATATGCTAATACAAATTTAAAAACTCACGCAATCTTAAAAATTTTACAATCTTCTCATTTATATAAGAATAATTTAGGTTTTTTTATTATTATATAATTAATTTCCTTTTTTCACTAAAAAAATATTTATTATTAGTTAAATTTATTAAAAATAATAGAAATAATAAAATTTACTTTTAATTTTATAATTTTTATTCATATTTTATATTCTTTTTAATAAATTTGAATCGTGTATAAGAAATGACACTCTTATTCCTTTTATATATATATATATATATATATATATATATATATTTTCATATCGATCTAATCAAACTAAAATCTAAAAAAGTTTACCCAAAAGTTGAAATATAAAAAATAGGAAATACATATACGGTGTCCCTTACAGTTCATGACTTCGCACATAATGATCAGGAAATTCATTTTTAACTTATATGTTTTTGTTAATAAATTAAAAATATTATGTTAATTTGTATTTTATTTTTCAGATTTTGTGAAAGAAATGATGACAAGATGTAAGTTTATATTTTATAATTAGTAATAAAAAATTAAATGTTAAAAATTAAATTAAAAAAAAAGAGGAAAGCAAGAATATATAAAAATAAAATAATTTTAACATTTTTTTATTACAGGATCCATTATTGGGGTTACTGTCACATAATTAGCACAAGCCCTCCAGCGGTATACAAAGCATACCTTAAACAGTTTCAAAAAGACTTGAAATTGTTTCTGAAATCACGTTCTGAGGAACTTGTGCCTGGGGGGGCAATGGTCTTGGTTATCCTTGGCAGAGATGAAACACATAGAAGAACCATTTGGGAACAAATTAGCCTAACACTCAACGACATGCTCTTAGAGGTAATTAAATGTTACTTTATATTAAGTTTTTAACACGATTTTGTTGGTAACAAGTTTTTAAATAAATGATTTGTTAATTACTGTTATAGTTCTTCTACAATAACTAATGTATGATTTTGAGATTTCTCAACAATTTTTAGAGCACACTTATTAGTAGTTTGGTTTTTTTTTTTTTTATTGTTACATATTAAATCATTTAAATTATATTTTTAATAATCCTTTTTGACAAAAAAATATTTTAAAAATTTAGTTTTTCCTACAATTCACAAAAATGATATTTTATTTAAAAATATATAAATTTCTTCCTTCTAAACCGTAATCTCATATTTAAATAAATATTTCAACTTTTATCAAATTATCACTATATTTTCTTAACTTCAAAAATTATTTCAGATCTCAAACAGAAATCCCCAGTTACTTTGATGTACAAAAGATTTTAAGTGTGTACTTGGTTGTTTTCCTGGATAAAAAACTATTTTACTGAAAAAGCTTCACTACTGTTTATTTGTGTTTAGGATTTGTTAAAAAAGTAAATAAAAAATTTGATTATTTTAATAACACTCTTCATAACTTATCTAAATCTAAAACTTAATTATTGAAATAATCTAAACACATACTAAGTATTTGATGCAAAAAAGCAAAGAGAGTTGATTTACTTTTTAAAAGTAAATTGACTTGATTTATTCAGAATAAAATCTTGAAAATTAAAATCATACACAGTTAAATTAAAAGAAGTCGATAGTAGTGCAATAAAGTCTTTTTAAATTACATAACTCATTGAGAATGTACACTTTTACACTGCAGGGTTTGATTGAAGAAGAAAAATTGAACTCTTTTAACATACCAACATATGAACCCACAGTGGAGGAAGTTAAACATGTGATTAAGGAAGAAGGGTCATTGTCCCTTCAAAAACTTGAGTTTTTCACCATGCCTTTGAATGAGTGTATTACTGAAGATGGTGACGATTCTTCTGTAGATGTATATGCAAAAGCCCAATTTATAAC